CCAATATTGTCCCATTGTTTTCTTTTACTCTATTTTGTCTCTTGTATCATCCTTAGATTGTAAGCTTTGTGGGGCAGGGTGGTCTTTTTGTTCGTGTTTGTTCTACCACAGTGGGATGTTGGTCCATGATTAAGGCCTTTAGGTGCTACAATAATACAACTACGGTGCTTTTGCAGTAAGCCACTTTTCATGGCCCTGCAGAGCCTGGTTTCCAGTACTCTTACCACTCTTGTATTTAATATTTTAATAGAGCCTGAACTCAGAGCAGAATAATTGAGCTCCCCCACTTTATTTGGGCCGATCCTCACTCCAGACTGGCTTTAGTTCTCATGCAGTCTGTCTCTGTCTTGTCTGACAATATCACAGCTACTTACTGTCAGCCCTCCGCCTCAAGATTCCTGGCAGATTTGCATGGCCTACACTCCAAAGACCCTGCCCCATAGGGAAATATTTTTGGGGAGAGTCCAGAGTTTCACCCCCAAAATGTATCCTCCAACTCCTGCCCTTCTTTGGTTCGTGATTCTTTCATTCTGCCCAGAGGCTGCATCTTCTGCCAAGGTCTTGGTAAGTGGGAGGGAAGGCGATACTTGGTCCTTTATTGCTAGACTCTAGAATCTGGTCAGAATATACTGAACAGGAAATAGCCAAATCCAGTTAGACGCTCTCCTCATCCAGTGAGGCTAGCAAGTGCTCTGTCTATAAGGACAAGGCTAGTAAAGATTGATCCAGGTCAGCTTCAGGGGCTCAGTCTCAAAAGGGTCTAGTTAAACAAGCCCTGCTTGAATTTAAAACAAACCAAAAAACTAAGAAAAGGAGCAGGAGATTCACATCACAAGCTAGCACAGATTCCTTTATCCTAGACATCTTCAATCTAGACACTTACAACTGATTTCATCATTGTGGTACAAATGGCTTTTCTCTGTTGGAAGATAACTAGTAATGAGATATATATCCAGAAGGCAGACAACACACAAAGTAAAAATATACATATAGCCAAAATAAGCTGAAGGAAACACAAGTAGTGGCAGAGGTCTTCCTTATCAAATGCTAGGGAAATTCTCTGAACTTGAGATGGAAGGCATTGAAGAAGAAACCCAAGAAAGGCTGCTGCTGCCTAAATTCTTCAAGATGGGTGAAAATGTTGCTAAATACGCTTGATATTCATAGCAAAATAAGGAAAAGTAACTCCAAGGGGAGCCTGTTTCCAACGAAGTCCAAGAAGTTGCTCCCTTTCATGTAAACTTTCATGTTGGAATGGGAACACCGAAAGGAAAGAACAAAGACACACACACACACACACACACACACACACACACACACTGTTCACTTCATAACTGTGAGATTTCTTGCATCTTCCTTTGGTTGGATGATGGACCACCCATCTGATCCTATATGGTTGTTCCAATTTCCTAAAAGGCAAAGCTAACTTCTACAGCCTCTAAAAGTAGATGCAGCAGTGGCCTCTTTAATCAAAAATACTGTCCTTCCATCTGAGGAGGGGGCTTTCACGAGCCCACTGGTACAAAATTATGATGCTGTGGCAGTCATGTTCAAATCATCGATCACAGTATTTCTAGCCTAGACAGATCTAACAGTTTTTTCTTTCCAAATCCAAACATTGGAAGAACTGATTTTCAAATGTTCTCTCACTTTGATGAGAGAAGACTCTGCCTAATTCTTGTATAGGGTCTCTAAGGCTATGTCTACGCTACCGCTGGATCGACGCTCTGGCAATCAATGCACCGGGGGTCGATTTAGTGGGTCTACTGAAGACCCGCTAAATCGATGACAGAGCGCTCTCCAGTCGACCCAGTACTCCACCGGGAACGAGAGGAGCAAGGTAAATCGACGGGAGAGTGTCTCCTGTCAACCCCTACGTCGACCGAAGCTACATCGACTCCAGCTATGTTATTCACGTAGCTGGAGTTGTGTAATTTAAGTTGACTCACCACAGTAGTGTAGACGTGGGCCAAGATTTGTGGCATGTGTAATGTCTTCCAGTGCAATCTCCAGAACACCTGTATCTGAGAACTTCTTGTTGAACCTGGAAATCTACCTGCAGTGATGTCATCCAGATATTCTGCAGGTACATAGCATCAGCCTCTTTTAATTCATGCCAGAAAGGCTACCCTCTTATGGGTCTTGTTTTCCCTGGTGCTTCTTTAAAAGAGCTTCTGGCTACTCCCAAGGAAGAGGATAGATATTCCCAAGGAGGAAAATCTAGGGTTTACTCCGTCTGGAATTTAAACACCAAAAATAACACATAGCTACCAGTTCTACCTGTCCAAGGATTCCTCTTCCCTTGGAAGAGGCTACTATTTTCAAGCATCACTGGTCAAAGATCATGTGACTGGCACCAGAAGATACTACGCCATGGGATTTTCACATTCCTGAGGAGACAGTTATATTCTTGCAGACCTCAAGGAACCTCTGCAGACAAAGCAATGTGTGAAACAGTCGCTCATCTTCTGAAGTTTGAGAGAAGTCTTATAGCATACTATACATCTATTGATCTAGACTATCTCCACATCCCAATTTCTGAAAGTCATTGGAGATGACTTAGTTTTGCATACTAGCTGCTTTCATGGGATGGGGAAGGAATCAAGGCATCACAACTTTTCATTCTGTGCAATGACTGACTTGTAAGGCACTCAGTACAGGGAGTATGGTAAAACTACTCAGATTTTCCAGGCAAAGGAATAGTCTGCCCTTGCCATGGATATTTTGTTCCAGCCTTGAAACAAGGAGCTTCTCTACTTCTGAGTGAGCCTTCTGCTTCGCAGAGCAATACCAAAAATGCAGTTGGAAAAAGTTGAATTACTTATAATTGCCCATACTAGCTGTGGCGGCCCTAGACCTCTAAAATCTTGGTCTTCTGCATAGCACTGTCAACCCGTTTTCATGGGAGGGGGAGTTTTCTGCTTGATCAAGGCTCAGTGACAGACCCAGGACTGCTCACTTCCAGTTAACTTGCCTCATCAAAACAAAGTTCAGTTTCTAAATGAAATAAGGAAGTATCCTCTGCTTTATAATGGAGGCTCCTATGGGCTCACAGCTATTAAACAATTAGACCCTAATTTATAATTGCATTTTAGAATAATTATTACAATGGAGATCAAACAAGATGAGTAGACTAGGTTTGAGATGGGCAAAAATTCTGCTGGAGAAGCCTTAAAATAATTATGGAACTAATTACACATACAATTGAAATTTTGGAAAAACTAGTGGATTCTGAGGTATGGTATTGGGGAGGAGTGCTTCAGGAGATTGTCTTGGCTTTGCCAGCTTCATGTATTCAAAATAATTTTTCTGAAGATGGAATTATTTCACCTGAGAGACAAAGATAATGTGCATAATGTCAACAGAAATAATTCTCTCAAGATCCTGGAAGGACAACACATGTCTGATAGAAGCTGAATGGATAATGAGCTTAATTCCTGGCATCACAGAAGAAAAATCAATCAGACTATAGGACAGAGGTGACTTATTTAATGCTGTATGAAAACCATATATGGACTATGTTCATGCTGATACTGGAAAATTAAATAGTAGTTTATCACTTCACTTGTGAATTTGATCCTACTTGCATTATGGAAAAAAAGTTAACCTTAACCAACCTTGTTTTATGAATTTCTTTAGAAGAAACAAGCTTGAACATTTAGTAGCTTTAAGAGGGGAGACTTCTGCTGACAGTTAATTAAAGATGGTCAGGGAAAATATACTGATGTTGGTGAAGCTAGTAACGTCATCCAGTCTTGGCAGGAATCTGCTGTGAGGGTCTTCTGAATTAGTGGGTAAAAGTCCAAGTCTGATGCAACAGATACTGTTTTGGGAGTCAGAGAATCCTTACTATGCATACATCCACAGTATCTGGTGAACAAATAGTGCTTTAGGGGCCCTTGATTGAAAAAAGGGTGGTTATATAGAGAATAAATCAAATCCATTCAGTTCAAAAAGTATGCCTGTCAAATAAATTGTATACAATACTATTTATCATGACACTAAAAATGTTTTGATCGTAAATAGAAAAGGAGTTAAAGTTCAGGTGAAATTAACTTCATAGTCTTCATACATTACAACTTTACTTGATTGAGTGAGGATTTAAAAAATTCCAAAATGTGGCTTCAGATCTTTGTCTGATTTTTCTCTGACACCGTAACAGCATTATAGCCCCAAAGCAACAATATAGCAAAGTAAATGGCTAGTTTCAATTGGCTTTTCACTATTTGAGTATTTAGAGTATTTAGTGTGTTATATGTAAGGTTTTTTTTTTCCCCCTGAGGACATACTACTGCTACAGGGTACTATTCAGTGGTTTGCATCCGTTAGCATAGTTTCAACTCTACTTCTTGTTAATCAAATCTTAAATGATAAAAAACTGACAGGTATTTTACCTGGACCATTTCAATAACACAAAGCTTGTCTACAACACTAACGTGTTGCACATTAATTGGACCATGCTGACTGCTGGTGTGCACTAAAGATTCCTTAGTGTTCTCTGACTTAGTGCTGCTTGAAACAGTACTATGTTAAAGCACACTAGGGAACCTTTAGTGCACACCAGAAGGGTATTCACGCAACAGTTAATGCACAACATGTTACTGCACTTCAGAAATCACACCTCCCATAGTGTGCATTATCCCACTGTGTAGACAAGCCCTTATTGATAAGCTTTTTCACCATAATTCTGTGTTAATTTTAAGTATAATCAATGGTACATGTAAAATGTCTGAGATGTTCCTGCATATTTGAGATTGAACTTCCACTCTGATTTCTCTTAAAAATATGAATTATTTGAATACTAGCATTATGGATAAGATTAATCACATAAGGAACACACTATCTGTGCTAGGCAATAATTTTTGTTTTATGGTGACAAGATAATCCTAGAAGAGCATTTAGTGTGGTGCAGTTTCATTTCCTTTCACCAGGGCTATTGACAAAATACATTTTTACGTTTGTTTTGCATTTTGAAGTAACACTTTCCTTTCTCCCTCCAGAGTCTGTGGACGAGAAAACACAAAGATTCCCAAATGAATAACCGAAAGGAAGATATGGAGATTGCCTCCCATTACCGTCATCTGCTTCGTGAGCTCAATGAGCAGAGACAGCATGGCATCCTCTGTGATGTTTGCATTATAGTGGAGGGGAAGATCTTTAAGGCTCACAAAAATGTTCTGCTCGGGAGCAGCCGCTACTTCAAGACTCTTTACTGCCAGGTGCAGAAGACATCTGACCAGGCCACAGTCACTCATTTAGACATTGTAACTGCACAGGGCTTTAAAGCCATCATTGACTTCATGTATTCTGCACACTTAGCATTGACGAGCAGAAATGTCATTGAGGTGATGTCAGCTGCTAGCTATCTTCAAATGACTGATATTGTACAAGCTTGTCACAATTTCATAAAAGCAGCTCTTGACATAAGTATAAAGTCTGATGCCTCAGATGATCTTGTTGATTATGAACTTGGGGCTGCTTCCAGCAGTAGTACAGATGCTTTGATTTCAGCAGTGGTGGCTGGTAGGAGTATTTCTCCGTGGTTAGCTCGACGAACAAGTCCAGCGAACTCTTCTGGAGATTCGGCCATTGCTAGCTGTCATGAAGGAGGGAGCAGTTATGGAAAAGAGGATCAGGAACCAAAAACAGATAGCCACGATGACATTTCATCCCAGTCTCTTTGGTCCAGTGACATGGGCTATGGGTCTTTGCGTATCAAAGAGGAGCAAATTTCACCATCTCACTATGGAGGGAATGAATTGCGTTCTGCCAAGGATAGTGCAATACAGAACAGTTTCTCAGAACAAGGAGCAGGGGATGGCTGGCAACCCACTGGACGCAGAAAGAATAGAAAAAATAAAGAAACTGTGCGTCATATTACACAGCAAGTAGAGACTGACAGCCGGGCAAGCTCTCCAGTGCCATCTTTTTTATCTGCCTCAGGATGGCCATACAACAGTCGTGACTCAAGTAAGGTTTTTGTTTGTTTTTTTCTTTTGATTTTCAGCAATGACCAGCTGTAGTAATGCAAATATAGACAGTATTTTGCTTATGGCACACTGTTGTCATTCACTGAAATAAAAATATTAAGGACTTCTGGGGATTGATAATGGAATATAGAACCTTATATCTTTAGGTCATTTATCCAAACTTATCTCTGGATAGTAGAGAACTGAAGTCATAGTCATCTCATAGATATTAATTTGTCTGTGAATAAAATAGTGGCTTAAGTCAGGTCCTTGATGTACAATTGTCTGTCACCAAAACTGCCATTCTTAGTAGCAGTGTTGATAAAGGACTGAAATTGGACTTGCCCACCTGCTAAAATAATCATTTCAGGTCAGGGCTGAGGAGCACTGGTTGTATAGAGTAAAGGAGTCCTTTTAATTGCTACTGCATGTGTTCTAATCTCTGCATCTTAATGAGATTACTGTTTCTAACACTGCCTTCTGGTACCTACAGGAGCGCCAGTTTCACTCGTATGGCCTACTTAGATCACTCCTCAATGGAGGAACAGCTATGGTGTTGACAGAAGGGGCAATTAAGGATAACATAGCATCCACGTTCCTCCTTAATCAACTGTCAGCCAAGTGTTTAGTGGCTTTAAGAATGGAAGTTCTCATGTAGTTTTATGGTTTAGACCCTCTATTAGTTTATTATGAATATCTGCAGTCTTTCAGGTGAGCAGCTTTAAATGCGTTGCAAGGGAGACAAACACACTCTTCGACTCTTTTTGAATCTTCATCAGTGTTTATCTTTAAAATAATATGAAAATTGTCTAGCTACATTCACTTTATCCACCAATTATTTAGGTTCAAGAATAAATATTTGCCTATCAAAATTATGGCTGAGATTTTCAAAGGAGCCTGAGCATGTTAAGTGCCCAACTGCCATAGAATTTCAATGAGTACAAGGTGCTCAACTCCCTTGGCCTTCTTTGGAAATCCCAGCCTGTCATGAGTTATTAACCAAATCTACGTTACTGCATGCTGGTACATAAAGCCAGGAAAAAGTGTGTGTGTGTGAGAGAGAGAGAGGTGTAATGTATAAAGTAAATACAATTATATTTTTCATATATCTTGTAAGAAACAACTATAATTTTAGGAAAAAATTCTACATAATTGATACTATTTGAAGTTGAAGGGCAGTATTAGTGAAATATTTGTGGTCTGGAATTTGAATGTTAAATGTCATGGAAAGTCAAATTAGGTGGAATGAGTAACAGTCTAGAAATATTTTTGGATTTATTTTGTGCAGCAACAAGCTTGCATATAATTTTGATCATCCTTATTGGTTAATGATAAAAACCTAAATAATTTTAATTTAAAACCAACAATGCCAAATGATAATATTGGCTTACAATGAATTTTGGATTTATAGTTCTCAAACTTCAGAGTATTCTTGAATAAAGCCTGTTGTTCCCGTTAAGTGCCTATGATGTTATTCAAGCATAAGTATTTCTGGCTTGCACACAACCCCATAAAAACCACTCAAGCATTTATATTATTCAAACTGCGGACATTTTTGGACTGGTTTATAGAGTAAAATACAGGTATGCTGGAATGGCTGCAAAAATGGAACTGCAAAACTAAATTGCAGGGATATGTTCGAGGATTGTTTTAAAAGTATAGTTTCTTAAAACATACGTCAGAGATATTGAGTGGCATAATACAAGAGATTCTGCTGTTGGAATTAATAGGGTCTGTGTCACTGAGTTCCTAATTATTACGATACTGAACAGTATTAACTTGAAAATGGTCACAAAAACATCCTACCCCCATCCAAAAGAGATTTCCAGCATTGATTCAGAGCAGTCTTCAGACATCTGCTTCAGTGGACACTATCAAATAGTTTAGGATGGCTTTAAATCTACATTTTGTGTGTTAAAACTAGGGCTGTCAAGCGATTAAAAAAATTAATCATGATTAATCACACTGTTAATAATAGAATACCACTTATTTAAATATTTGTGGATGTTTCCTACATTTTCAAATATATTGATTTCAATTACAACACAGAATACAAAGTGTACAGTGCTCACTTTATATTTATTTTTTATTACAAATATTTGCACTGTAAAAATGATAAACAAAAGAAACAGTATTTTTCAATTCACCTCGTACAAGTACCGCTGTACAATCTCTTTATGGTGAAAGAGAAACTTACAAATGTAGATTTATTTTTGTTACGAAAGCAATTATGTGAACATCAAGGGAGGAGAAACTGCTTTTGTAGTTGGCTAACTTGGTGTTCGCACCTCAACTGCTAGAAGAGGGTCTCATCCTCCCTAACTAACCTCGTTATCTCTAGTCTGATTCTTGCCTGCATATTTATACCTGCCTCTGGAAATTTCCACCACATGCGTCTGACGAAGTGGGTATTCACCCACGAAAGCTTATGCTCCAATACTTCTGTTAGTCTATAAAGTGCCACAGGACTCTTTGTCGTTTTTATTTATTGTTCACTGTTGAAATTGAGTGAAATGCCAGAAATAAACAAACGGGGGTGATGCCAGCACAGATAGGGACCTACAGAGATCTGGCTGCTGCACCGCAAACACTATGGTCCTGAATACAGGCAATCTTTCTGAAGAAGGGAGGTATCTGAAGGCTGGCCAGCCTGTGGTATTCCCACTTAAGCCAGCTGGAGAATTGATCAGAGACAGAATTCTCCTCCTCTTTACTGTTGCAGAGTGATGTTGCTTCTTTGCAGCATATGTACCAGCTCTCCACAAGACTCTGTTCTCTGCCACAAGAGTAGGCTTGGCTTGAATGCTGCTCGGCACACTTCTGCGAGAGCACTCTGTGATCCATCATAGTGCCAGAATCAATCCCTAGAAGTGTTTTAAGTGACCAAGACACACTGTTTTTCTGTTTCACACCTTGTGTATTTGCTTCCTTAATCTTTGATACTTAGGATGCTTGCCAGTTGCAAATTTCCTTCCTGTGCCCAGTTCTGCAGATACGTTGGATGAAATGAAATCTAATTAAATAGGCTATTCACGTGAGTTCACTTCACCATTCCAGTGAGTGCAGATAGGAAAAAATCAGAGCTTAGTTTACCACTTCCTCCACTCCTATGCGTAATAGGGCTTTCTGCCTCAAATTAATATTTTCCATCTCCAGCAGGTGGAAGCAACCCTCTTGCTAGCTACTAAATCTAATAAGCTGCTAGGCTTCAGAACTGAGCTTAGGTTAGTCACTGATATTTTTTGGTTTCTTTAGCTTCTTAATTACCTATTTATTTAGTGTCCAAAAATATGCTAAGCACCTCATAAAGCTGTAATAGATATGCCCCAGCCCCAGAGAACTGATCATCTAAATAGGTAAAAACAAGAGATGATGGCAAATGCATGCCATATGCAAGCAAAGTGTTAGAGGTAATGTTTAGCATGTTTTGTTACCATTACCTTTTAACAAATGCCAGCCCCCTCCTTACTGTGAATTTAATAGCCTCCACCCTAATGAAAATCTTTTCAAACTGTCCCTAACTTTTTATATAAGGTTCTCTGTCCTCTTTGCTAATCTGAAAGTGGTCTTAGCCATTCAACCCATAGCCAAGGTGGAAAAAGTACTACCTCAGTTGAAGGAATTGGTGCTTGATATACCATCGTCACATGTCTGTTTGGGATACCTAGGAGAGAAAATTATTTGAAACTTACTACAGATTTTGAGGCCTCATCTCCTCTTCATCTTGTTGAAATCTGACTGGAAGTATCTTGAGCCATCTGATTGTCCTGGAATCAGGTCTTTTAGAATAGTGTTTGCAAATAAAACGAGGCCACAGGTTAGTGTAGACCTTCTGGCAGTCTAAAATGATGATTCCCTGAAGGCCATTACAGGTTTATAGTCTGAAAGTGTTGATACCTTGCATTTGTTCTTCCCTAGAATTTTCTCTAGACCCTATATAAATAGGAAGAAGCATGATCGTGTGTGGCTTTTTGGAGGGGGAGGAGAGTAATACAGGGTTCCATTGTCATCGCCAAGTGCCCTTAATTTATTGGTAACTTTTGATGGGTGGGTATTTTAGAGTTGCTGGGTTGACATAGGAAAAGAATGAAAGTAATTTATTTCCTTGTTAGGACTTGAAGTAACCAGTGCTAGTCCAGAAACCCCTCCTGTGTTTTGCAGAAATAATTCATGTATTAAAACTTTGATGCTGTTATGGAGTTGATTATATAGTAAGTTATTTTCTGAAGTTCTTTGCTAGTGTACACAACTGAACTGGAAAGGAGCTACCAGTCCTTCAGGGTAATGGTGCTTATTTCAGTGGGAAACATACATTTTGTCAATACAGGCACTGCATATTAGAAGGGTCCTAAATACCATAGTAGGCTGTATTTAAACCCCCTAGAGTGGAGCCTCAAACCCCAAAATATTCAGATTCTTGGTGAAAAGGCCAAGAGAATAATCCATGGATCTGTTGACTCCCTATCCCAGATGTGAATAGAGACACTGCTTTGCTTCCCTGAATTCCACTACACCGCAGGCCAGTTAATTAAATAAAGCAAAGGTGTGGAGTGATTCTGATAACATTGTATTGGCCACAGGCACCATGGTACTTGGATACTATAGAAATAGCAAATGGGGAAAGGGATTCTTACTGTTCCCCATTAAGTCTGGATCCACTTTCTCCAGGAAGGAATGCAGAAGCAGGATTTGCAATAGAATCTGGAGTAAATTGAGATTCTAGACTGCTGAAAATGTGACACATGCGTCATAGTCAGAATCAGATAAGTTGCAATTTTTGAAGGATGGCCTTAATCGCACAAAATGTTTGTGGATCCCCTCTCATTGAGATCTTTGGTGGTATCCAGGAGGTGAAAAAGTTTCAAGCTTGGTGAAGTTTGCTAGGTCAGCTGTGTGATCCAGTTTATATGTTTCCTGGCATCTGTGGACACTTTATTTAGCTGAAAGGGTCTTTCATGCAGATTTCTTTAGTGCTTTTGCTGTGTTCCTTTCCCATTGCTA